CAATAAGTCAGCTTCGGGAAACCAGTAGTGGTTTGTGTCGAAGGACGCTCAACAACCCCATTGGGAAAGTCCCAACAGCTAAGTGTAAAATGGCAAGCACACATAGTTTCTACGTGATAGGAAAGCTGGATGACCAAAGGTTCAACTTTGTCATAGATTCTGCATCTCAGCAAACCTCTTTGGGTATCAAGGTGCTGGCTCACAAAGAAGTACTAAAGGTCATACAGAAACTCTGTAGTGTGACAGGACATTATGCAAGGTTGTGGGAACCAGTGTGGGTAACTATTGAGCTCATGGGCATAAGGGACAGACACGAAGTATACTTGGCTGACATTGAAGACCAATGCATATTAGGGTTGTACTACTAACTACCGAGGAAGTGTATAGTTAATTTCGATAAAATGATATTTGGGAACAGTAAAGGCCAAATTCTGGTAAGTGTTAAAAGAGAGGTTGGACTAACCATCAAGCTGAAGTCAAAATGACTCAAGGAGGTGATGATGGTGAAGTAGAACCAAGTATAGATATTACAGGAGAACAGGAAAAAGAACAAGATTTGAAGCCAATAATTGAATTTCTTCAAGAAAGTGTTTTGCGCTCTGCTTGGGAGAAGGTGTCTAGCTTAAGACCTGTGACAAAGAACTATTGGGCACAATGGGACCAGATGCAGCTTGAAGATGCTATTCTTGTCCGGAGATGGGAAAGTGACGACCTGGCAAACGGTTATATCGAGAAAGTTACGGGAAGTTGTGCTGTGTCAATACCAAGATAGTTTAACAGGAGGAAATCTTGGAGTTAAGAATACATTGAGTCACCTACAGCAGAGCTTTTACTGGATAGGTATGAGGCAAGTTGTGCTAAAAGGGAACTCAAGCATAAAGGACGTGCTCCACTGAAGTTATATCAAGTTGGTGCACCAATGGAAAGAGTAGCCATTGACATTGCTGGTCCTTTGCTCCGAACTCTTGCTGGAAACAAGTACATTTGTGTGGTGATGGATTATTTCACCAAGTCGCGTGGGGCATATGCAATACCAAATCAGGAAGCTACAACTGTAGCTTCGGCTATTAGTGATTTCTTCTTCAGGTTTGGTATGCCATACGAACTGCATTCAGATCAAGGCCGTAACTTTGAATCAGCTGTGTTCCATGAATGCTGCAAATTGTTTGGCATACGAAAGACCAGAACAACGCCACTTCACCCACAGTCTGATGGGATGGTAGAAAAGTACAATTGCACACTGGGAAAGGAATTGGCAAAGTTTTGTAATAATCGCCAAGATGACTGGGATGTCTTACTCCCTCCACTATTGATGGCCTATAGAACAGCAGATCATGAAGCCACTGGATACACTCCAGCAAAGCTTATGTTTGGTCGGGAACTTCGGTTGCCAGTGAACCTGATAACAGGGCGCCCACCATACAAAGAATTGCCTGAAAAAGTGCCAGAGTTCGTGAACGTGTTATCTGAAAGGATGGATGATATTCATCATCAAGTGCGTTCGAACTTAAAACGTCTGCTGATTTCACAAAGCCATGTTATGATAAGAGATCTACTGAAGTCAGCTTTGTACCAGGAGACAAGGTGTGGTTGTATAATCCCAGGAAGACCAAAGGAAGTCTTCTAAGTTGTCTTCTCCATGGGAAGGCCCATATTATATAGTGGATCATATCTCAGACGTGACTTTTCGAATAAAATGTGGTCGGCGAGGTAAGTCAAAGGTGGTGCATGCCAACAGGCTTTGGCGTTATCACGGTCCAGGACATTTCAGTTGGAACGAAGTGAACAATGGAACAAATGACGCTGCTGAAGATGTGTTACCTGAAAAATCCACTGTCAAAGAAGAAAGTCTACCTGGTTTTGAGAGGAAAACAGTGAAGCCGTTAATGTAGTTACTACCACTGATGTGACTGTTACTGATTACGGGGCGTTTCCTGGTGGAGCAGATGAACCCCATATGAAGCAGAAGCCAACGAGACGCAGAACAGTACGGAAGAAGATACGTCCTGTAAAATTAAAAGACTTTGTTGTATTTTAATTTTGTGTTTGTAAATTCTGTACATTTAATTAAGTTATTGTTAATTATCTATTGGTTAAATATAAGTGGCTATTGTTCGGGACGAACAATACTAAAGAAAGGGCAATGTTACGACAGCAGAAGTCGCTTGACGCTGGGAGCATGCGCGCTGGAGTTTCTGGAATTATCAGGGAACCCCGCTAATGTCCGAGGTTTGCTAGACGCCCTCTTTTTTTTGTATATAAGCCTGGCAAATAAAGCCAGCGATATATGCAGATAGATTGAAGAGATATATAATTGAGTCAAGCGAACAGTAGGCTCCGTAAGTAAAGTGTGTGAATCACTGTGATTTATAGCGTATGTTATAAAGGTTGTTAAGCTTAAAGTGACTGTGGAAATTCTGTGTGTTACTAAAAGTTGTATTGAGAAAGAATAAACTAGTTTTAATTAAAAAAGGACTTGTATCGCTGAAGTTCTTCGGAAAGAGTTAATACCGGAAATTCACAAACAAGCAGATACGTAACAATTTATACGAAGATATAACTTCAGTTACGCTAACCACGTTCAAAGTCGCAACATCAAGTGTGAATAATCACAACACTCCTGTTTTATAGAAACTCGCCAAGAAAAAGTGATTACATTATCTGAATGAGGTGTTTATATACAGTACCTAGATAGAGGGCGTTGCTGGAGAAGTTTATAATTTACCAAGGGTATTCAAGTGGGGTATAAAAGACTGGAGCAAGTATTTCCAGTACTTATATGGGTAAAGAGTGGAAACCCTGGAGATCGATAAATAGCTATAATGTCAGCGGATGTAAGTATTATTGGAAATACATTTTGTGTTTTTTATCAAATAATTTTTCGGTGCGAAGAAAAGAAAGGAAGAATTCAATCGATATTGGAGATGTTGTGTCTCAGGTATTTCTTAATGCATTCCCTTGAAATTTGGTATGTGGAGTTAGTAGAGCAGATACGTTGAAAATATATGATAGTCTGGATTACCACAGTCCGAGCTACAGAAAGTGGAATATCGCTAAACTATCACTCCTGTTAATAACAAAATGTGTCCTGCAGGTTGTTTAGGCTGCACGACACCATACCGTGTGTCTTGATATTGGCTTTATCTGCTGAATACGTCACCTGAAATCAATAATATGCGAAACATATTTGTTTAAAGGTTTCGTTCTTACCATTAATTAGCATGGAATATTGCAAACACAGCACCTCGGAATCATGTGCCTCTACTTTAAGAGAAAACTCCATCGTTCGCAGATCACAGATTCTGAAACAATCAAACCTTTTATAAGCACAGGAACTTGGTTATAAAACAAATATATTTTAAGATTACAAAGTAAAATAGAAACTAAATCCTTATGAAAATAGAAACTCAAAATAGTGCACTTTACGAGAAATATCAGTAATTTTAAAACCAAAAACATGATACAGTCAGATTATTGAATTAAAAAACACTAAACACTAGATAGCAACAAACTTCTGATTATTTTTCAAACATAGATTTATATCATATTTCTGAAAAGTTCTGTTACGTATCTGCTCGTTTGTTAATTTCTGGTATAAATTCTTCCCGAGTAACATCAGCATACGAGTCCTTTCTTAAATAAAACTAGTTTATTCTTTCTCAATACAACTTTGCAATACACAGAATTTCCACAGTCACTTTATCTTAAACACACGCTATAATTCACAACGATTCACGCACTTTATGTACGGTCACGACCGCTCACTTGACTCGATTATCTGTCTCTATATCTCCCTGTCTGCCATTAATTTCTCCGCTTTATTTTCCGGTCTTATAAATACAAAATAGAAGGCGTTTGGAAAACACTCGAGCCTTCATGATCCTTCTAGAAACTCATCACCTGTTACCAGCGTCACGTGAGTTCTGCTGTCGTAACAGTTCATTATCATAACAGTACATAATATGAACCTTAAGCAGTCCTTGGCACAATCTTATTAACCTGGTACTTACCCCTTTAAGTAATCCTTGTCACACTCTTATTAAACTAATACCTACTTTATGATTGATCCTTGCCACACTGTAATTAACCTAATACCTACATTACAAGTCAGTCTGGTAGCTTGATATGTACCTTATATTTCCTGAATGATCCCCAGCTGCCAAATGATAGCCATCATGACTGATACATAGACATCGAACCCCACTCTGCCCACCATGTCTTCTTTCATTACTTCCACCTGTGTAAGAATTGAAGGAAATCGAAAACTTTAATAGCTACTACACATCGATAAAAATACTTTTAAGTGGAGTTTAACATTTACTTTTAAAAAATATAATTTTACACCCAAAGAAACATAAGTATGTGCCTTACACTAATAAACCAGTACTTAGAATTATGGGATATTGGCAGAAAACTATATATTAGAACATGACTGTTTAAACATCTAGATATTGGCACAAACACATTATATTAGAACATCATTGTTTACACATTTGGATATTGGCACAAACACATTATATTAGAACATGACTGTTTAAACATCTAGATATTGGCAGAAAGACTGTATATTAGAATATGACTGTTTAAACATCTAGATATTGGCACAAACACATTATATTAGAACATGACTGTTTAAACATCTAGATATTGGCACAAACACATTATATTAGAACATGGCTGTTTACACATCTGGATATTGGCAGAAAGACTGTATATTAGAATATGACTGTTTAAACATCAAGATATTGGCACAAACACATTATATTAGAACATAATTGTTTACACATCTGGATATTGCCAGAAAGACTGTATATTAGAACATGACTGTTTAAACATCTAGATATTGGCAGAAACACATTATATTAGAACATGACTGTTTACAAATCTGGATATTGGCAGAAACAATTATATTAGAACATGGCTGTTTACACATCTGGATATTGGCAGAAAGACTGTATATTAGAATATGATTGTTTAAACATCTAGATATTGGCACAAACACATTATATTAGAACATGACTGTTTACACATCTGGATATTGGCAGAAAGACTGTATATTAGAATATGACTGTTTAAACATTAAGATAATGGTATAGAAACAGAATTAATTGTTGATTACATAACATATGGCTTTGGTTAAATAGCTAATAACAAAAAATTTGGTAATGGTTTAAATTTAAAAGCTTTAATATTAAAAATGAATAAAATTATACACCTTTATCACATGTTTTGGTGTTACAATTCATTCTTTAGATAAAATTACCTGGTTTAAGAATCACATCGCATAAAAATGAGAGACCTGGATCCATGTACATAATCTTCAACAGTTCCTAAAATTAATAAAAAAAAGTAAACGAACTAATTTACTGTCAGGCTCTACATACCATGTTTGTATAGTATAAAATAACTAATTTACTGTCAGACTCTTCACACCATGTCTGTAAAGTATAAACCACCTAATTTACTGTCAGGTTCTTCATACCATGTCTGTAAAGTATAAACCAACTAATTTACTGTCAGGTTCTTCATACCATATTTGTATAGCATAAACCAACTAATTTACTGTCGGTTTCTTTATACCATGTTTGTATAATAAAAAACAACTAATTTACTGTCAGGTTCTTTATACCACGTTTGTATAATAAAAAACAACTAATTTATTGTAAGGCTCTTCACACCATGTTTGTATAATAAAACCAACTAATTCACTGTCATGTTCTTCATACCTTGTTTGTATAACAAAAACCCACTAATTTACTTTCAGGTTTTTCATACCATGTCTGTAAAGTATAAACCAACTAATTTACTGTCAGGTTCTTTATACCTTGTTTGTATAATAAAATCCAACTAATTTACTGTCAGGCTTCTGGCACCATGTTTGTATATTATATACCTACTAATTTACTTTCAGGCTTATTAAGCTTTAAATACGGAAAGAGTTTGTGTATTTCCTTTGTGAGCAAACATTTAATATAATCCTTAAAATAATGTATTATTTGCATCTGTAAGTACTGGTTTTTAGATTATTTAAGTACACTGTATGCAAAAAATGTGAGCTTTATAAAGCGAAAACACGAATTTTACAGATGCTAAATATATAAGTATATTCGAATAAGACTCACACAACTAATGATAATCCTACAAAATAAAATTTAATTTGATAATATATACTTACAGGACTGTACACATTTGTTTGAGAGTTTGGATTATTACCATATATGTTCCACACCCTAATGGTGTCATCGCTGGAGCAAGACAGAAATGTTCCATGTGTCACCACTGGCTTTCGTTTCTCTGAGAGTTGTGGATATGTCTATTGTCAAGATAATAAAAACGATTACAATGGTAACAATCTGAGTAGGACTGAAACCAGTATAAGAAAATAAACATGATTCATCCACCAACAAACTGGAGGCATTCTTTACTTAAATAATATAGATAGTTATAATACTCGCATATTTTATACATTCACTATTTAATTAACAAATGTAGTAACAACACTGGAACACTAACTACATCCACTACTTAATTAACAAAGGTAGTAACAATACTGGAATACTAGCTATATCCACTACTTAATTAACAAATGTGTAGTGGATGTATCTAGTGTTCCAGTATTGTTACTAACCTATGTTAATTAAAAAGTAACAATACTGGAACACTAGATACATCCACTACTTAATTAACAAAGGTAGTAACAATACTGGAACACTAGATACATTAATTATTTAATTAACATAGGTAGTAACAATACAGGGACACTAGATACATCAACTACTTAACTACCATAGGT